AGCGTTATGGCGACCGCTGAGTCAAAACTACTAGATGAAATCGATGAAGATTTTCTGGTCTGTTGCTCAGAGCGATATAGAAATGCAGTCATTCTGTCGTGTTCTCTTAGCTTCTGCGAACAGTGTGTCGGTAAGCTAGTTGAGAAAGCTGGGGGAAAGAGTGTGCAATGTCCGACATGTAGAAAAGGTCACGACCTGCCTGAGGGCTGGCAAGTATTCCAAAGAATTTCTTTCTCAATGAGCTCGCTGGGTTATTTGACAAGAAGCGAGACGGGAATACGGTAGAGGCGATTGTTTGCGGTAATTGTAAAAGGGGAACACCCCACACTGCACACAGGGACACAAAGAGCTCCCATGTTTAAAGTCCCACCGTCTGATGTCCCTTGAAACATATAACGATACACGTTCCACTAACCCAGCTAAAGTACAGCTTCCAGTTTACTGTAGCAGTCACCATGACAACCAGGTGAAGTTTTACTGTGATACATGCAATATCCCGATATGTTTGGAGTGTACTGCTCTGGATCATAAACTGGTGGAGCATAACTACCGATACCTGAATGGTGCGGCATCGGAATATAAAGGGTACCTTGTGGAAATGATGGATGTACTACAAAAAAAAGAACTGCAAGCAAACAACAGTAAACAGGAAATCAAAGAACGTCAGAATCTCTAGAGAATCAATTTCAAGTAGAAAAGAAGAAACTGAACGAACACATAGAGAAGACAATCAAAGAAATCACATCCAAGATCCGTGAAAATGGGAATAACCTGATGGCGGAGATGAAGCGGGAATATGAATCCCAGAAACAAAATTTGGAAGCACAAATTAAAGAACTTGAAATTGCTGAGAATGAAATAAAACATACACGTGACTTTAGGGAAAAACTAATGCATTATGGGAATGATGCACAGCTAATGCCAGCAAAGAAGGGAATGACATCACAGATACAACAACTGATAGAAGTTAACACCCAACAACACCCAGTAGAAGACGAATATATTGAATTCCAGAAATATGATTTTCAGGAAACACAAATCCTTGGAGTTACGCTCTATCACAAATGCATCCTTGAAATCAGAGATGTCCCAAAATATGCAAGAATTAATGAAGAAATAACAGTTACCTTGACAACAAATGATGACTATTCTAGACTACCGTCAATAAAGAAGATCAGAGCTGAGCTGAGACCACCTGATAATAATGTACAGGAGGTGAAAGTCATAGAAAACCAAGACAAACAGTTTCTCTAAAATGCAAATGTAAAGTAGAAGGAACACATGAATTATCAGTTTCATGTTTTTAACAAACCTATTACGGGAACACCAGCTGTGATTTCCATAATTCCTAATAAGGGTTTACTATGCAAATATGGTGTGAAAGGTTCAGGCCAGTTCAATAATATCATAGGTGTTAGTGTAGGTGGGAATGGGGTAACTGCTGTATGTGATCAAGGTAATCATAGTGTTCAGTTGTTTTCTTTGTATGGGACACACCAACGTGTACTTCAGTCCACTAATTTTACATCCGGATTTGCCCCACGATATGTAGCTATATCAAAGGAAGGTTACTACTTCATAACAGGTTATAGTATCAAACAAGTTGCTGCATTTGATAAAAACAGTAAGGTAATTACATGCTTTGGGAATCAGGAATTTAAATATCCTATGGGTAATGATATTAGTCCTTTGAATGACCGAGTGTATGTTAGTGATTACAGTGCACATTGTATTAGAATATACACCCAAGATGGTGGATATATTAAATCATTCGGTTCTCATGGTAGTGGGAAATGTCAGTTTGCCAATCCACGGGGAATGACCGTCGATAACAAGGGCAATGTCATCGTGGCTGATTACAGCAACCATCGCGTTCAGGTGTGTAATCCTAATGGTGTATTCTTATTCAGTTTTGGCAGTAAGGGAAATGGTTATAATCAGTTCAATTGTCCGTATGATGTTGTTTGTGATAACGATGCCAATATGTATGTTTCTGATACCAATAATAACAGATTTATGAAATATGATTCTCATGGTGTGTTTGTTTCTCGTATTGATAACGATCAGAATGCATTGCGTATTCCTGTAGGTATCAGTGTTACTAATGATAAGCCATTCGGTCATGTTGTGGTGGCAAGCCAAGAGGATAACTGTATTAAAGTGTTTGCGCAATGATCAACTATGTGCAAATATACC